TGTTCGACTACCGTTTTCTTTTTTTTACTGGTTTCTTGGCAATTCTTCCAGTTTATCGAAAAGAATTGCCATTGTTAGCTAGGAGGTGCCACCACTTGGTAAGTTTTTATAAGATTTTCATAATCCCGAGAACACAAATTATAATTTTTAATAATAAAATAAATTTTGAAATATGTATAATTTTTAATAATAAAATAATATGTATAATTTTTAATAATAAAAATAAATTTTTTAATATTTGTATTTATTGATTTGTATTTTATTGATTCGTATTTATTGATGTTTATAAAAATAAAAATCCAATTATTATAATTATTGCTATTATTGTCATTATAACCATTATTATTGGTCGCGAGCAAAATAATTTGCAATAAAATAAATTTGAATGATCGATTCGTAGTAATATAAAAAAAATTTTTTTTGTGAAAACGATTATTGCTACCGGATAATAATAAGGTCTTAACGGGTCGTAACACTAAATTGCGTCTGCGTTAATGCACTGATTGTGTCACATGCCTTTTAATCTTGATGTATAAACGGATAAAGGTACTTGACACTATGTGAATCTACAGAAATCTTGGTGTCGAGAATTACGGATCACCTCTGCTTCTGATGTGTTTTAAAAGAGTTAAATATAATTTAATTTATTTTCTATTTTTTCTTACAAAATTTTACTTATTTTGAATTTAACTTACACTTCACTAAAAATATCTGATATTTTTTACCAAATCCCAGACTCTTATCAAACATAAAATTTTTTACCATTTCGTTGGATTTGTGTGATATTCGTTTGGAATAAAATTGATATTGATTTTATATGGATTATTATTAATTATTTGATCCTACTCTTTTACGGTAAAACAATTATGGGGGTATAGACATGGTGATGAAGGACTATTACTGATGATAATAAGTTGCAAAAAAAATTTATAAGCATATTTGGAGTTTTTTTATCATTTCAATTTTCCCACGCTCCATTATATTAGCGTTAGTTTTTTATAAGTTTTTAAAAAAGAGCCAAGGAAAAATCGAATTAATAGTCCACTTTTATTGATTAAATTTTTTTGAGGTGAATAATAAGATATAAAATTGGTTTTTTTTTATATATTAATATAAAGATTTGGATTTTTATATTTGTCAAATAGTAATGATTATTTTTAATATTGATAAAATACTTACAAGAATTTTTTTTTCTTGAGATCTAGCGTTATAAATGTGAAAGAATTCACGTAATTTGAATTATTTGCTATATGGGCATACTGGAACCAAACTACTATCGGGGCCCTCATATATCAACTAGGGCTGACAATTAAACTTACATCGTGTGATTTAGAAAAGCTAACGTACAATTATACATTTATTTATTGATTGATTTCTTCAATAAATTAATTACATTATAATAACAATTTTAATTACAATAGAAATAATGATAAAAGATGAAATAATCATGATAATGTTGGAATCAAACATTGAAATTAAAAGACTTCTGGAAAATCTTTGACAAACGCAATCTTTATGTTTTTAATAGCTGCATTATTTAATCCGGTGAACGTCTAGTAATTAATTGATTAATTAGCAAAATAATTAACAAGTAGAATTAATAAATAAATAAAAAATTAGATCATCAATTTTAATTTCTTACCTTTTCGAATGATCCATCTTTGAACTTTGTATCAAATGGATAGCCCATTGGTCTAATATCAGGATATTTTTCACCAGGTCTTTCAGCGCCACAGAAAGTCAAACTACCACATCTAGTATTGACATCAGGTACTTTATCAAGATTCCAATCACTGACAAATGCCAACAATTTGTATGGAGTACCATTTGGAGCACCCCGAGGCAACAATAAATGGAATGGCCATCCACAATCACAATATAGTTCTTTGTCACTATCTTTTTTTCCTGGTTGTGTTACTGTATCGTCCAATTGATCTACAGTTTTTTGTGGTGGTTGACGAACTACTGAAGACTTGTCACAATCACGTGCTACTACTACTTTAGCTTTGGGGCCAATAGGATATTTAAATTTATCTAATTCAATCCAGCTTTCAAATGAATCTTTAGTTTTTTCAGGTGCAAGGAATATTCTGAATGTTAAAATAAGATTCTAAACAAAAGATTATATATATGTGATTAAAAGCATATAATTAATATACATATCTACATAAAGTATTTAAATAAACATTTAAAATACCTTATCACTAGTATTTTCAACACGGAAGAAATAATACCATTCTCTAGGAAACAAGTATTCAATGGTTTCAGTACGTTGATCATCTTCAACCCAAGTCCAAGTACGTGTCTTCATCTTGGTTTCCAAAGTAGTAGTACTGACAGAAGCATCAGGATCTTTGATGTAATTAGCTCCACCAAAATGTTCCTCGCCCCATTTACTAGCCAATTTATCTTGTTCAACATCACCTAAACCCTTAATTCCAGGAATTTTATCTTTGAATGCAAGTATGAACCCATTTTGTTTGATTTTAACAGGTGGCGAATCTTTGAAATCGTGCGGAGGAAGTGTTTTTTGCCATGATACAAAGAATTCATCAATATGTTTGTGCCATCTGAAAAATAATGGATCACGAACTGCAGACCTTTGTTCTGAAAGAATTCCTGGGTTATTTTTTTTATCTTTTTAAAAAAAATTATAATAATAGGATTATCATAATTAATTATGATGATGATAAATAATTTAATACTAATATTATAACTACCACAATTATATAAAATATAATTATACATACCATCCATATTGGGATTATGAACATAAGACAATAGGACATGACCATTATTATGTAAATCTCCATATTTTCTATATTCCTTCAATTCAATTGTTGTAGATTGAATCACATTACCCAACAAATCAGCTGTAATTGGTTTACCATTATCAAATTTACCTTGCTGAATAGCTTTTGTAATATTTGCTCTTGCTTCTTCTAAATCAGAAATTTTAATTGGATCTTTACCAACTAATATAAAATTGTTAAAATATAAGTTATTAATATATATATAAATATAAACTAGTACATTGGTCTATTATTAATTATGCAATTCATTATTTTGGCTTACTAAGATCTTTTGGAACCACCCCAGCAGGACGTGCCGAAAATGCAAATTGGGTAACAGGACCATCATCAGGGTTAGTTTGTCCAACCACATGAACATCTGGATTATAACCTTCGGGGATTGGATCCCGATAGTTGCTAAATGGTTTAATAGGTTCTAAACCTAATCCAATACGTTCTGCGTCGTATCTGATAATTTACACATATATATACAGCATTAATTATTTATTACAAAAAATTATAATTATCATTCAATTAAAAATAAAATAAAAATAAAGTAAAAATAAACAACCTAGCGACCATTTGTCTGTGCATATAATAAAACAATTCTCCTTGACGATCTTTGGAAATGGTTGCATTTTTTTTGAAAGGATCTGGGAGTGCACCAGGTGGATAAACATTATGCCAATGTTCGTGATGTTCATTAAGATTAGGATCGTCATGATAATACTTCATTAAATGACTAATTGAAGAACCAACACTTGGAGAAGAGGGAGCAATCGCTTTTGGTATACTGATTTCAGGAGCACGATGGGTTAATGGTGGAATACGAAGTCCACTTTTACGTGCATCAGGATGATGAGAAGTAAAAATCATCAAAGCATATTGAACTTTCTGGGGGTCTTCAGTTTTCATATCTTCTTGTGCTAGAGCTAACGCTTGTTGAATTGGATCATTTCCTACTTCTTTTGCATCAATTACAGCATCGTAATATTTTCTTAATAAAACAATTGACTCATTGAATTGCCTACGATCAAACTTAAAAAAAAAATAGGCGAAATTTTAATTAATAATTTAACCAATATAAATAACAATCGACAAAATTAATAATTATTTAATTATAATTTACAATCGTAAATCCTTTAGGATTTGTTTCGGCTGAAGTTTGCCTGAAATCAGGAGTAACCCTCAAAAGGTTTGAAAGTTGTTTTTGTCCAGGATTTGTCTGGATGAGTTCTTTAAGTGTTGACATTTTTTCATAAATTAATAATTATGATTATAATAATATGAGACGGGTAGTTTATTATTGTAATAATAATAATAATTAGGAAAAAAATTTCTTAAAGCAACTTACGTGTTAATATTTATAAGGTTTTTTTGTTTATTTTATTTTCAGAGGTTTGATTTTAATTAACTTTTTTGTCTTTTTAGTACGAATCAAACAAACAACTTTATATGGTAGTTTTATTTTGTTATTATAATAATTAGGAAAAGGTTCTTAAAGAAACCAACATATTAATATTTACAAGTATAGATAGATATGATTTTAATTAACATTTTTATCTTTTAGTGCGAATCAAAACAGCTCATAAACTTGTTTATTGATTATGCCAGTTCAAATTTGTTGTGAAAAAGTATTAGAACGTAAAATTATTGCAAGTATATTTAGTAATAATGCGTTTATTAATGAATAAACAAATAATGCGCTTTTATTGCTGCCAAAGCATTAATGCCTGTGTATTATGCTTAATTTTTGACACATTTTTAATGTAACTTGTCACAAAAACATTTAAATGATAATGATAATACTTTTGTTGATAGATTATCTTGTTTTAATTTCCATTAAAAGAGTTAATAATTAAAGTTTTGTGAGAAAATCTCGAAATTATTAATTCAGTTACTGTATATGAATTAAAAAAATCATGTAACGGTCAGTAACTTGTTAAATTTAATTATTATACTCGATAAACCTATTACTATTCATAATCAAGAAATCCCAAGTCTTTAATAGTGTTTCGTCTTTTTCCAATAAATTTCTTGTTGTCAATCTCAATTCAAGAGTTTGGGTCCAATTGTGTCCATTAACAGATCCAAAATATCATCGTTATCAACCTCATCGTCAAAAAAGTGAACTCTTGCGAAATTAAGTGTATCCAAATATTTTGGTAATACTTGATTTAACACCTTGAGTATTCTATTGCCATCTAATGTGTGTACACGATTTATCAAATAATACAGTTTGTGAATGTTTCCATTAATTGCTCATTTATAAATTATCTAATTTTTTACAATTGAGCTGAAGCAAAGTTTCTTAGATTTGAACATCAAGTGTTTACCTTTAATTGCAACATTTTCTAGTATTTTTCCGTTCAATTTAAGAAACGTTTGCACTTTAAATTTGGGAGATTGAGAATTTTAATTTCTACTGCAAAACAATAAAATTTTTTTAATGATCGACATTGAAATTTCATATGAAAAAATGTCTTCAAACCCTATTTTATTCATTTTTTTTGTGGAGTTATTTAACCAAATTTAATACATACAGTTACACGAACTTTTGGGCTGGGCTAAATTTTTGTAGATAATCACGTGGATAAACTTATTTAAAAAAATAATTAGATAATATGGGGCATGCTGTAACAAAACCAGCATCCTCTCATTGGTCGATTAAGCTTGTATGCAGATCATGCGACCAACCAATCAAATTAATTAAAAAATTCGAAACCAAAAGTTTATTGATATATATATGTTAAATAAATTAATAATATTA